TTAAAGGGCATTTCAAATTTGGAAACAAATGAGTCACCTTGGGCCAGGTCGGGAGAATAGATTGGAGGAGAGAGTTCCTGAAAGCCACATTCACTAATAGCAGGTTTTGATGTCTTGGCTAGGTGAGCTGGTGCATTACCATGTAGAATTAGAACATCAGTTGTCAACATCGTGGAGCGATGCCCTTCCTCAGTATTATTCAACAGCCCGACCTCTAACTGTTTGTTACCTATGGAGGGGAGTGGTCCAGGTATTCACTCATCATGGCTGTGTTGACAAGATCACATTGTGTGGGATTTCTTCGTTCATTGGAAGTATTCCGTGGAAATTTAGATACAATTCAGTTTCATTTCTGATTCTGAATTTTCCGACCAGAAATACTTGTGTTTTCACTGCTTGGTTTCGGCGATCTGGTTATCGCCACTTTCTCCGTCAACTGGCCGCCATCTTGTTTTCGGATTATTCACAATGCCGAAACAGTCATCCTGTGGTACTTGCCCCAAGCTAGTCGAATACCGTGCAAATGCCCTCACGTGTGATTTGTGCCAAATTAAATACCACATTTCATGTGTTGGATTATCAGTTGAGCATTTTCATCGTTTTCGTGAAATCCGACACGATTTCCTGTAAACTTTATGTGAAAATTGCTGAAACAAGATACAGCCAGGAAGAGTACATCTGACGTATGGGCTTCATCATTCCGTTGCGAACAGCTCCGTGTGATGGGCCCAACCACCTAGCCCGAAGGACCTTCAGATTTCAGCTTAGTCTTCCTTCCCTACCCGTGCAAACTCACCGGCACGAAGTCCAACCGTTGTGAGGAGCCTAGTTTCATCTGACATAAAGTGTTTCCCAACGAGCACTGATGTCCCAGCAGGTGAAAGTTTGACTGCTGAAGACCAGTGGAAAGAACAAAGAACGAAATTACGAAGGGATGTTGGGCGTTTAACTTCTGCAAGTCATCAGTTAGCCAAACGACGTGAGGCTGCATGGTCAACCTCGTCCGACCAGAGGCGTTATAGTCTCGTGATCATCCACGCTCCGGAGTCCAGTGATCCAACATTCGAAGTGCGCTACGATCACAATGTTGAGTTTTTGCAGAGTCTAATTGACAGACTCCTCAACGCTGGTGAGGACTCAGGTAAATGTGAGGCAAAGTACCCGTCTTGGAAAGCAAGGTGATCAACAAAATCGGCCTATGGGGATCACTTTTTTGAACGAAGCCAGTCCAAGACTGATCTTGTCCCGCCTAAGTAGGCTGAAAGGCTTGAAGATCCATGTTCTTCTAGACCTGGACTCAGTAGACAGGGAGCAGCTCAACTCTGCCATCATTGAGCTGAAAATACATACTGGTGTGGAGGAAACAAATCTTCGTATCGTAACTTTTCGGGTGGTTTCCAAGTGTCTGTAACTCAGGGTAAACAGGTTGCTCACACTTCAAGCACGCCCGGCGGCTCCTGCTGCGGCCTACGAGTAGCCATCACAAACGTTTGCAGTGTTATGTTCGAGCGCGATGAGCTTTGTTGTTTCGTTGCATCTGAGCGGCCAGACGTAGTGCGACTCGCATCGGCATGGCTGCATCCAGAGTTATCTACCCAGGAACTTAAACTCAACGATTACTCGTGCTTCCGTTGCAATAGACTAACGAATACCCGCGGTGGTGTCTTGTTCTACATCCGGTCTTTCCTGCATCGGAGACTTGTGCTCATCTACCGAAGTGACGATGGTTTGTGTGAGCTACTTTGGTGCTCCAACCACCTTAGGCACGAAGAACTACTTGTGAACACAATCTATCGCTACCCCCTGAGTCCTTGTTTGTACTGGCTGCTCCATTTTCGAACCCACATGAGTCATCCACACTTTCTACTTTTGGGCGATTTTAACACCTCGAATACGATGGCCTGATGTGCATTTGATGCCTGGACATGGTGAGGTTGAAGCAAAGTTCATGGATTTGGTACTTGCAACTGGTGCATCGCAGCACATATCCTAGCCAACACACATAACACCACGCTCAACCCCGTCCTGTCTCGAACTGATGTTAACGAGCTACGAACAACGAGTGCGTGACGTTAGGATCCTGGAGCCCCTGGCTACAAGCGACAACTCAGTGCTCATAGCTGATATGGAATTACCTTTGCGGTATTCACCTCCGCTAGGACCAGTTTACAACTACTGGAAAACGGACTTCAACGGTCTAGCTCGAGCCGCAAGCCAGCTGGATTGATCTCTGTCACAAGCTGCATCTGTGGAAGACTGTTGTATATTTATAAAAGAACGGTTGACATCATTGTATTCCCAATTTGTGCCCTTGGAAGGTTGGACTGATTATGCCTCATTGGTTTGACAAGGAGTATGCAAATCTGGCTCGGAGGCGGCGCAAACTGGGGAACAGATTCCTCCTCTCTGGTTCTGCCAATGACTACGAAGGGTATAAAAGTCAGCGGAACCTCTGCAACAGTGTAAAAAAGAATAAGTGCCGACATTTCGAAGAGCAGCTCGCAATCGCCGCGAAGACCGCCCCAAAGAGAATCTTTGCTTATGTGAAGCGACGCCTGAAGTCGGCAGGTGATGTGCCGGTGCTAGATGGCCCGGACGGACAACACCTAACCTTCAGCACTGAGCGTGCATCCGCATTGGCGGCACACTTCGCTTCTGTATTTGCAAATAGCCAGGTGTCTGTTTCGATTTTGACGTGTACCGCTTTTACCGAACTCGACAGTCTGGATTGCGGCGCTGAAGAGATATGTTAGCTTCTTGCCAGCCTAGCCAGCACTAAATCTGCCGGACCTGATAGGCTTCACCCACTGATTCTCAAGTCACTTTCGCCCATCCTCTCTCCTGTCGTGACTGACCTTTTCAACAGGTCGCTATTCGAAGGTTCCTTGCCGACTGACTGGAAATCTTCGGTGGTGAAGCCTATTCCGGAAGGCGGTGATCCTAGCAAAGTAGACAACTACGGGCCAATTTGTCTGACACCTATTTTGGCAAAGGTTACTGAGAAAATCGTAAAAAAGGGATTATTGCAGTTGCTACAGTCAAAAGAGGTCCTGACGCCCGCACACCACAGTTTTATGCAAGGCCGTTCATGCATTACAAACTTGCTTGTGACGAGGCATGAGTGGCTGTAGGCAATAAGCAAAGGCAGGTCTGTCGACGAGATATTCATCAATTTCAGTAAAGCGTTCGACAAGGTCAGCCATGTGGTTCTCCTTCGCAAACTCAGGATGTGCGGTGTCGGTGGTTCATTGCACCGGTGGATCCGCGACTTTTGTTAGACGAAAATGGAGGGTACAGGTCGACGACCATCTAACTGACTGGTATCCCTCTACAAATGGCGTGCCTCAAACCACTGTGCTGGGACCCATTCTGTTTCTGATCTACCTCAGCTTTTCCGGTCACCGTGTGCCTTGTTTGCGGACGATATGAAGATTTGGAGAGAAATCGACGCTCCCGACCACTGTGGCGTACTCCAGCAAGACCTCAACCGCCTATCCACATGGTCTGTAGAAGTTCATCTCCCGGTCAACCCAGCCAAGTCTGTATTTATGAGCCTGGGGAAGGGTGTTGACGGCCAACCGCTATATCCCACACCCTCCGTGAAGGACCTAGGTGTACTCTCGCGCTACGATTTGAAGTCCGTTGACAACACGAACAGGCTATATCATAACCGACTGGCATGCTTTGGGTGCTCAAACGTAGCTTCGGCACATGGTCTGAAGAGGTTGCCACTCGCCTCTTCTCTTCCATCATTAGACCAATGCAAAAGTACGGTTCACCCGCCTACTTTCCGATTACCCGAGGCGATGCACAAAAGATCGAACGGGTCCAACTCGTTGCTACTTGGTTTATCCCGAGTTTACATGGCTTGGGGTATGAAGACCGGTGCGAGAAACTAGGACTCTACACCTTGTCCTACCGTCGGGTGCTAGTCGACCTCATTATGACCTACCGTATTCTACATCTCGATGACTTCCCCATGCGGAGGCCAATGCTGCACTTACGAGGGCCATGCAGCACACTCGGGCACAGATAGGAACTAGTCGTGCCGGATGTGAAGCGAGTTCCTCACCCACGATGCTTCGAACCGAGAATGGTAAATATTTGGAACAGTTTGCCTGAACATGTGATGGAGGCAACATCTGTGCAGCGGTTTAAAACATTATTAGATTTATATTTTACCACTGTTGGATTTAGAGTACGATTGCATACTTACGATGACATGTCACATTTGTGAGTCCTGCACTACCGTGAGTCTGACATTTTAAGTGTTACCTGAGAACGATATTTACGACTGACAACTTTTATAACATTCTTCACCATATTTCACAAGAGTTGTACAGAATTGCTTTCTACTTGCTCTATACTACAGTGTTCAGTATTCATGCATTTCTTGCTGCTGAATAATCTTTAGGTTCAAAATTTCCATGACCTGTCTGTGCTTCAATTGGCCGGTGGCCGAGTGGTTTGCACGCATGAGTTGCAGTCATAAGGTCACCGGTTCGAATCTGCGTATGAGCGGGCGTCGTTGTGGTATACCCAGCCCGCTCGCCACTGGTGGTCGCGCGGCGACGAAGCGTAATTACGGTGTACCTCTGACGACTTATTTCTGCCGGCCCGTAGCGTAAAGCTAACGAGCTTTTGTAATCTGCTGGCGCAGGTTCGAACCTGCGTTCGTGCAGGGAGAGCCTCGCAGTATCCTTAGCCCACGCGCAACGAGTAGTGATTGCGCGGCAGCGAATCGTCAGTACCGGCGTACTGCTGATGCATTGCTTCAGACATGGTAGGCTACGTCTGAACGTAATAACACGAAAGTTGTATGCTAACAGTTAGAAATCAAAAAACTTGGCGCACTTGATTGCCTAAGATGGAGCAACAATCAGCCGCACTTTGGCGCTTATCATCATGTTTCATGGTATGGCTCAAAACTTATCGAAAATCCCTCGTATCTTCTATTTTTCGTCAGCTTTTTGATCGCAATAATCACGAATGACTTTACAGCCTTCCACTACTCTTGGGTTCAAAAATCTGCTAAATGGCTAACGGTCAAGCCTAGAGTAAACGGACTACATAGCTCTCTTTGGGTTGGGCCCAGCTGCTTTACGATTACTAGTAACTAAGCTGACGCGCAGCGCTTGACTCTTCGGCATAAATTTTGTACCTTCAGTGAGTAAATCACTGTTTCCGGACTGCACCGACTCATCGCCATTCTTCATTGCCACTCAACAGCCACTGGAATTTGTCGATCAGTTCACTTATCTTGGTAACTGTATCACATCTGGCGAAGACATCACAGAAAGGCCACTGAACGCATTGCGAAGCCTCCTATGGCTTTTGAATACCAAGGTGAGTCCAGCGTTACTGTTTTAGTTAAAGACAGCCGCTGCGTTCAGAGGACGTCGATAGACTGGTCGTGTTTGATCACCCATACTTAGATGTAGTACTGATTTTTGATCGAAGTACCGGGTGAACATTATTAGAATTCATCTGACGTTTGAACTCGAGTCACCTTTGACGGCTCAGTCTTGTGCTCCGCCTATCTGCCAACTGACTACCTCGGGTCGCCAATCAGACAAGCTAAAATAGTACGCATATATTCCCTGGTAGGCGTAGTCAGGCTGCTGTCTATTTCACTCGCGAATGCGGTCCTCGGTGCCGGTCACATCAATGTTCCGGCACCCTCTCGGCATTTGGTGCGGTCACAACCTTTTTTACTCTTAGCACTTCTAATAGGCAACCGCGTCGTTTCTTTTGTTCATTTTTTCTTCCCCTTCATTTTTCCATCGTTTGACTGTTATGGAAGCGCTTATCCAAGTAACTGGGACTAGCGCATCTTTTGTACAGGCCAGATCTGGCCAAATAAACTGAGCGCTTTTCACTCAAACAGTAATTTGACTGGGTTGTTCGTTTCGCACCATTTACCATCTAGTTGTTTCATATAATGATTTTCCGCGATTTAGTCGACATAAGTCGGCATGATCACCCTGCGTCACTCTGTATGCTCCTGTCTTCATTGGTGTATTGATCTCTAGTATGCACGTGACCACCGACAACACGATAAGGTGGTGCCAGACATCTAAGCACGCGATTTCTCTTCTCAGCGCTACTTACCTAGATGCTAGAGGGCTATCCTCCGTTGCTGCAGACATTGTTGGGAACTGGCCTCACATGGGCAGTGACGGCTCTTGGTGCTGCTTGTTGCATCCTTCACTCTGGACGTAAGCAATCAGAGGATAAGGTGAGTGAACACGCTTAGTAACTTTTCCGTTTCCGTTCCTGTAAATATTCTCAGTTAAGGCCTAAATCTCTAACGAAAATCTGTGGTCCCAGCCGTTCTCCTGTTGGCCACCGCGGCATGCCTCATTCAAACACCTGTTAGTTATCTACTTATGAGTAGTAAATATTTAATTAAATTTATTTACTTATTTCAGTAGCGAATGGATTGCGGCATATTGTAGTCAACTGTCAGTCATGCAGGTCCGCCGCAGTCACCCATGGCTTAGTGGCACAAGCTGCCGACATCCGGAGGTCATGGGGTCGGCACGCGACAGGGAACCGAGGAACGCGCACCACTGACGGGCCTCAGAAGGTCGAAACAGCTGGATGGTGCTTTTCCAGATTTGTGGGAACCTTCGTGACTGAAATGGAACTGCGACGAACTACATCTAAAAATACCTATTTTGCACTCATAGAATCAAGTCGTCTAGTCATTGTTATGTTGTAGGTATATTTTGTCATCAGCTATGTTGAGAATTGCGATATACTCCCGGTCACTACAGAATGAGTCAGGTGTTGGTGAGTTTTACGACGCAACTTGGCTGATGTCATGGGCTTGTATTGCCCCGAATCAACTATGATGCAAAAACCGAACTACACTCATTCTGTTTAGCATTCATTGACTAACACGCATGACAACTCATTGTATTTTCATCCAAAGCCATCTTTTTTCTTTCAACTTCACCGAGTGCAACCTTAGGTGCATGTACGCTCGGGCATGATCAATAGCACTTGATCTACCAACCTGTATCCGGTCATAAATCATGCGCTTACAGTTGCGATTTCGAACTTGTCTGTGTATCAACTCAGTTCGCTTATCCGAAGTTACCACACCGCCGACATGCTCTGTTTACTCCGTACTTGTGCTCGCTTGACGGGACTCTGAGGTCCCTTCGCTTGTATTCCCCAATGATTGTACAACCTGTTTAGCCCGTGATTGCTAGTGTATATTCCCGTTTGCATTCCGAATGTGCTTTGCACTGCGCTTCACACTTGCCATGCTCGTTCATCTGTATATTTTAGCTTCTCTTCCTTGATGCGAGCCTTGGTTTCTCCGCTGGAGTAAGTTAACCCATCTCAATTCAGTACATGAATAAATAAATAAAATTTTATTCCTGAAACATTTTAAACGGAGTAACCTTTACTGCATACAGTTTCTAATAACTGACATCTCAACCAGTGTGTAATACTTCTAGGTTTAAAAATCTAGCACGTCATCCATGTGCTTCACACACACACACACATTTTTCTCTCTCTACTGTTGATGGGGTTATTTTTGCACATATATAGCTGGCAACAATGATATCATTAGTACAGGATTTTTTGGTGTACATTTTAAAGCTATTTCATCGCAGATAACTCACATGCCAACTGCGATAAAACCCAACTAATTTTTAACTACACTGCAAGTTACGAAGTTCGTAGAGGACAGAGTTGGCCCCTAGAGCCACAGATGCTACGTGCGACATAGCATACCTTGTACGTCGTGACAGTCTGTCACAGTCACCTATGGCTTAGCGGCATATGCCGTTGGCGTCTCGAGATTGTGAAATTGATTCGTGGTAAGACCAGGGGATACGCACTACTGAGGAGTCTCATTAGAACCAAATTACCATCTAATGCTTTCCTTAATAGATGGCAAACTATCCGGCGATGAATTAGCGTGCTAACCCTAGAAGTGCAATTGCATATTGGTATGGTCCTAATTAACTGTTGATTGTCCACCGTCGCCGACCTCAGGGCGTCAATGCAATTATCGGCTTCTCAGTGTATTTAACAATAGTCTCTGCTACTTACTGCTGGCCTTTGAACATACTATCTGTAGCATCTGTTTACTATGTAGTAAATTGTTTCAGCTGTGTGATTACGCCGCCCATGTGAACACGAGTTACCCACTGATTTATTTGACTTACTCAAGGTTTCCACCTTAATTAACCCAGAGCTACGTTTTGTTTATATGACGCAAACGTTTTCAATAGAATTTCGATCACGGAGCCACACACACATCTGAAGGGGCACTACTCGATCATTTTGTTCTGTTGAGACTCATGACAGCGCGCATTTTCTTCAAGTATGTCATGATTAGGACTCTCGTCTCTTCCTTTACTAAGCCGTGACTTGAGCCACCGACGGACCGTCATGAGCGATCAGTGACTGTGATATGGCTCTTCTCGTTCTTCACTGCCATAAGTTGTACAGGACTGACTTCAGAACTACTACCTCGTTACAAGCTGCAGTGATCACCCCCTTATGCCTGGGGGATTCATTTGCTTTCAGTTTCCCTCCAATCTAACACAAACGCTTTCTTGTTCGGACACTTTTATCGGGCCAACATGATTTGCACCCCAGACACCATAGAAGCAGCAAGGAAATTGCTATTCAATACACTGCAATCCAACGGTTATCAGTTGAAGCTTATTGAGCACCACTGTAAAACAAACATGCAATATCGTACGCTAACAGTCCCAAACAATCCCATTTTCATTGAGCTACCTTTCAAAAGTGACAGTGTTATTAAGGTCACCGAGAAGCTCATAAGCGTCCCACTGCAAAGAACGTACAACGCGGCGGAATTGCGGCTTCTCACTTTGACTAGACCTATGCTAATGTGTTCGATTAAGACATCGATGACAAAGCAGTACATGTCCCACTGTCTATATAAATTTACCTGCAGCTGTGCAGACAGCTACGTCGGGTGCACTAACCGAACTCTAGGTGTCAGAATCATTGGACACATCCGAAGCTGGTTACGCAGCCGCATGGGATCTGTGGCGACGGAATCAGTCGACTCTGGAAACCGAGCTACCTCAGCAGTCATTAGACAGTCGCTGACTACTGGTTGCTGAGTCAGTTCTGATGAGTCGTTCACAGGCCTAATGTACGACCAACGACCTCAAACTCCTAGGCTATTGGAGGCTATCGTTATCGATCGCGAACGACCACCGCTGTGCATTCAAAAAGAGCTGACAGTGGCTCTAAGCCTACCGTGGTAGCCCCCATGTGTTTTGCTATCTGTGATCACCGTTTGTTTATGTTTCAATGTTGCATGCTTTTGTAATTGATAAGAATGCACGAAATAATCTTGTCATTAGACAGTTTGCGTCTTCTGATTGTTATGCTTGCTTTGAGGAAATTCGGCGTAGCTATCTTCATATAGACCACCACCGTCTTATTATGACTCGCTATCAGTAAATGCTTATGGGGCCACTGTGGAACATCGGTTCTCACACTCTAAGCATATTCTTCTCGTCCCCCTTTTCCTCTAATCGTAATGTGCTCTCAACCTGACTGTACATGAATTTACCTTACTTTTTGTCATCCGTCCAGAATTGATTGATAAGGCCTTCTGATACAGCCAATGGCATAACCATTTTTGTCGTGACATTGCCTCACACTCTCATAGGTCATGCTTGCTTCATCGTTTTGGTCCCTCCTGGTTCCTGCCATCTCAATTGCCACGAACGACCTTCATATGGGGGCACTGTCTGTCGTGCCAGCAATCGTCGGTTTGATTTTAGGCAGTGCGTTCGTTGCAACCGCATCACACTTCCTGCCGGTGGAGGTAAGTCCCAGTCTATCTTACTGCACACTCTTTCAGTGATGGTCTGATTTTTGTGCCGTATAAAGTTACTCACTTAGTTCACCAGTAGTTTTCTATCGCTTTCTGTTTCGCGAATCCGACACCTCTTGTTCATCGCATTCATCCTGATTCTTTCTTCTCTTTTGTTATCTACAGTGGTTTGCATCTCTTAAGGATCAGAATACTGCGTCCGTTAACGGCCTTCCAGCGGTGTACCACACACCATCCCCTTCTCCTGGTAAGGAATGATGTCTGCTGCTGCTATTATATGAACATTGCAGGAACTGTTCTGTCTCACTTGACTAAATTATTATTATTATTATTATACGGTTTCAGGCTACCTTGTCCTCACTTAGCTTGTACTTTAATGGGTGTTGTTATCGCGGGTGAACCTCATGATGTTAGATTGATATCGGGCGCAAAATTCTGTTATTCACCTATGAGTCATAACTACGCTTGTACAATTCTCGGCAAGAGGCGTGCGATCCATATGTGGAAGCGATCATTTGTACACGTGATTAGTGTTATAATTTCCGTGCATTAACGCGTCATAAGGAATTTTCAGCTCATGCATTTTCCAAACTTCCGCTATTTAACCATGCTACTTGATTATAGGTCTCTGTCAGATCATCGTTTGCAACTCATTCAGTCAGTACGAACGTTTGTGCACTGATTTCAAACTTCCTTCATAGCGAAAGTGTGGAATAGTCAGTGGTGATAGCGTCAGGTTAGATGGCAAAGAAGCAAGTTTCGTTGTGTGGGCAATGATGCCGTAGGAATAATTGTGTCGTGACTTCTAACGTTTCATATTTTCTTAGGGCCACGTTCCGTTTATGTATCTGGAGATTGTTGCAGGCAGATGTCTTTAGTACATCCGGCATAATGCGAAAGCTTTATAAAAGTGTTCGAAATGTATCGATGTTATTACTCCCCCCCACCCTTACCTGTAGCGGTAGTTTATTTCACAGCTTGGCGTATCTCACTAGGAGGAAGTCTGGTCAGATTTTTTGACTTGAAAACTCTGAGGTAGTGAGTAACTCCCATCACAAGTGGAACAGATTGCAATTTTCCACAAATCACTGACAATCTGTCTGTGAAATCCCGCCTATTTACAATGTTGAAAAGAAGAGGGAGATTATTTTTAATCATGGTAGCTTAATTGGGTCCATTCGGAGATGAGGACAACCACCATGGGAACTCACGATTGAGGAGATCCCCCTGACCAACTTAGTGAATGTTCGTTGGACATTTTCCAGAGCTATTCTGTCTTTTTTCCTAGTTGTCTGTGAATGATGATACACTAATCCAGTGTAGGTCCTACTTTGATCTGGAATAGCTCAGATCGTGTCTGAACTATGTTCAGAGACATTTTTGGCTTCCACATGCGATGAACTCCTATACCGTTCGCCTGCAGTGGTCCCAATTTTGCGCCGGAGTAAACCCACACTCATCAACCTTTGACGGGCTACGGAAATTGCATGATTACCTGCTCCGTGACCATAGATTATGGCTACACATAAACTTAACCCAATGCACTGAGTCTACTTGGGTTGGACTCTGCGTTCACGTGCTTCCGTGTTTGGAGCTTGTCTAGACACTGCAGACCTTCTTGCGTTCGTTTTCTTTTTCATTTACCTCTTTCTTTTTAACCATTTCTAGCTTCTTTATAATCTCTACATTTTGGCTAATTGTTTGTTTTTTCATTTCTGCTTTTTCTCATTACTGTGGTACATTATCTAAGGTGTGTTTCTCACCCTCAGTTAACATTTATCAATGATGATGAAAATATATTTTTTGCTGAAACAAATCAGACCACTTGATCCATCGCACTTCAGTGGTCGCATTATAGTTGTTTGAATAGAGTGAATTGTGTTAAGTAAACAGATAACTGACGTATAGAATGCGCAGTTGCAGACGCTATTTCCTTAAGACAATCACCTTGTTGAGCCATTTTAGTTAAGTGAGTGTGACCCAAGCACCGGCGTGCAGGGGCTCCAGACAGCATCATTTGCATCGCTCTGACAACAAAATTTGGCCATTGATGCAGGATTAGGACAGACGCAAAGAACACTAATGGATGTGTGGTGGCTGTCCGGCTGAGTCTAGCTGCGACGATTGTTCTCAAAGCCACACTAAATCTCCCCACTTCACTATGATACTCAGTGATCGCCTTTGCCACTTACATGCCACCTCGATTAATGTCGACTTTCAAATGTATTCTTAGCTCTCGGGACCAGCCCGGTCCTCTACACACTCATAACATGCATGACAGTGGAAGATGAGCCGCAGTTAATATTTGTCATGACGTCCGCCACCGTGACCCATGGCTCAGTGGCATGAATCGCTGGCTTTTAAACCATCAGTCCGAAGGCAGTAGGATTCGATGGTTGCGCGCTACTAACTACATCCAGTAGAACGAAACGGCCAAATAGCGCTTTCTTGTATGTTTGGTGGCTGTCCGACTGTGTCTATCTAGGACGAATCTTCAACAAACCCTATAAACACCCCTACTACTTACAAATAATCAATAGTTGCCTTAGCAGCTTACATGTCACTTCTATTGGTGGCAGCTTGCAAAGGAAGGCGTGGCTCTAGGGGCCAGCACTCTCCTCTGCAGGTTCATAACATGCATGACAGTGGAAGATGGGCTGCGCTATATCACAGTTAGATATCAGTCAAAACGGTCCACTGCCGTCACCCATGGCTCAGTGGCATAAGTCGCTGACTCGTAAAAGTCATGGGTTCCGATTCTGCGGAATCCGGTGGATGAGCGCTACTAACGACTCACTATACCGGAACGGCCCTCTAGCACTTTCTTGCATGTGGGCTGGCTGTCTGGCTGAGTTTAGTTGCAACGATTCTTTTCTAAAACAATAATGCTATCGATAATTTGCTCTATTGGTTAGCGGCCAAACACAGGAGGACTACCGCTTGAGCACCATCGGTTCAACAACTGCGATCCCTCGAAATGCTTCATCTGTCGACGATATGGCAAATCTCAGTGCCCCCATCCACTGGTTCGTCGCAATGTGCGACGGTCATTGCGCGTGATCCCACTATCATTAGTTCAACTCTGATTTCGTACGTAACTATGCCCGTTCAATTGTGTATAGGTTATGTGCTGGGGTTACTATCCAGCCACGCAAGGCAATTGTTCATTTGGCATTTATGTGTTAATCTAGCTTCTGTTTCCCTCTCAGTATCTGCGGTTTTCTAACCTTTGAGCCCTACCCGGCTGATGAGATTGATTCCACTTGTGGCTGTTTTTTCATGGAAACCCGCAACTACTGTTACCTAAATCTATTCCGACGTTAACTCGCCCAGTGGCTGGTCAACACTCTTGTGACGTCCTCCTTTGATCGTATGTAATGAAGCGCACGCTAATCATTGTTGATTTTCATTGACCTGCTCGTATTTTACAACGCTTCCTTTCATGTATCTGGCCTGTTTCTCTTCATACACAAGTATGTCAGCTACTTCAGTAGGCAAAGCCTTTTTCACTTTCGTAGATGGTTCCAGTTTAGCAGTAAATCTTTCCGTTTGTCAGTCAACTTGGGTTCAATTGTTTCTTGTTTAGGCTTGACGAATCTACAGTGGTGTATCGCTGTTGATAGTGATGGTGATGAATCGGTGGAAATCCTCGTTTCAAACTACCCTTTACCTATTTGTCCACATACTTGTGTGTCAATTTCTTCCTTGCCTTCTTTTTTAGCAGATACTAGTGATAATGAAAATTCCAGCTCCGTTCGTTTCCGCGGCACAGTCCACGGGACTGCCACCATCACAAACGCAGAACTCAGTTCAGTGCCAGATGGGATTCCCAAGGAACGTAAGCTCTCCATGACCAATCGACTATGGATGCTCATTATAGCAGTAACTGTGCACAATATCCCCGAAGGTATGGCGATTGGTATAGCGTTCGGGGGGTTGGGCTATTTCTCTGAATCCACCTTCGAAAATGCAAGGTTAGTGATCAATTGCTGCTTTTTTGCTACAACTCTCTAGCCACAGTCAGTTCTCTTTGTCAGTTTCGGAATTTCCCTCCTACATTTTTGAAATTGGAAGTCCCCTACATTGCTCCAACTAAGAGTAGCAATGTATTAAGGTTTTGAGATGATACTGTCATTTCGCGCATTCTCATCAGTCGCGTACACGCAACCAATTGTGGTTTCAAGAACAATAGCATCACATGAATATGATCGGTGGCCTATTAATGATCGGTTACTGTGTTTCGCACATTAACGCAGTGTTGGCCGTTCGCATTCGATAACCAAGGCCTTAGGAGTCTTGAAAGCGCAAGGCTTTTGGTCGCACATAAGGACGATACATAATATATTGCGGTTGACCTTGTTGCTAGTGTTCAGTAAATGTCTCATGGTTGTTGAGATGACCTTGCTTCTCCTTTCGTCTGGTTCATCCTTTAGATCCCATTTATCTGTGTAATCACTTTAGAATGTTTGGAGGGTCATTTGGAAGTACACGTTATGCAAATGGATTGTGATGCACAATCTCAATGTGGACTGTGATTCACGTTTAAGTGAACCTTGATCAATTCGGTCACCGTAAGTGATAAGGCAGATGAATATTGGGTGTTGCTTGCACACAACCGGTTCAGAAGTTAATTGACCTCATCAAGTAGAGATAGCAGGTATCGCACCCCGGGCCATTGACATGTTAGTCAAAACCGACTAGTGGCACTATCGGTTATCACTACGGCTAATGACTGATTAGATGGATCATTCGGAAGCATTTGTTGTGCGAATAAATGGCGAGTCACAGCCACAACTATCGGATTTATTCGTCAGTTTCGACACCCAGACTTGGATAGTGTGCCCAACCTGGCTTTCTCTGCAGATGCAAATAGATTTGTATTGACAACGAGACACACTACTTCGACGTCTGTATCTTCACTGAACACGGTGGAACGCCATATTACGTCATTAGGACGTTTAGTCATATCTATATTTGCTGTCACTGTTAGCTTCACGTCTTTCTAATTCAGTTGACCCATTTATCATTTTATGAACTCGTTCTGGAACCTCCTTGAATGACCCAACCAACCTGTCCCGTCCGATACAGTTGTATAAACTGATCAGGCAACCCAGTTTTACTATATCTCGCACTGTCGTGATGTACTTTTTATTTAGTGTCTCGTCGACATGAGCAACCGTGGTTCGGCTATATTGTACACCTTGGTCTTTTTGAGTCTATCATAAGCTGTATATGTGTAAGTAATGGAAATTTACTACATAACCGCGTCGTCCCACAACTTCCGACTTCTGATTTTCCAATATTTTTGCGGTGACAACTTGGTCATAAATGAGAACATTGTTTTATCCCGTTGTCCATGCAAAAGCACCACTTATTCTCCCGCCTGTGGATACCAGGCACATTCTTCCCATGCGCGCACATAGCGTAATCCTAGCTGGTAGTTGAAGACATCCTTTTTTTCTTGTACCAAACACAGTGAATGTGGAGAGCCATAGGACGCCTACACGTACAGAGAAACTGGGAGTGCAATACGTTGCACCATTCACTCTCCCACTCATAATCCGCCTATGTTTTTGTTGTTCGAATGCAATGGAATCATGAGACATGTGGAAGGAATTTGTCCCTCACTCCTTCATCATGCGTATCATTGATGCGAACTGTGAATAAATAAATAGGTGGTGTGTTCCTCTGCTTATCTCACTTACTTATCCAGGGAGTTGCTTACTTATCTAGGGAGTTGCATCACGGCTGGTGGCGGGGTTGGAGATGAAGTCTCACAACGGATTGCAAGAGCCTGTCGCGCATTCATCAAACTGAGACACCTATGCCGTCGTCGTTATGTCAGTCTCAAGCTCAAGGGCAGGGTGTACAATGCTTCCGTCCGTGCAATACTGCTGTGAGACGGCCTATTCGCTCGGTAAACATGAAGCGGCTGTCAATCTTCGACAATCGCTGTCTACGAAGGATTGCTCGGGTGTGGTGGCAACACCACGTAAGCAACGCAGAGGTGCGGGACCGCGTGCTTGGGGCGAATAATACCAGTCTTCAGAACGTTATTCTTCGACATCGCATGCGTTGGCTCGGGCACGTTTTGCGCATGCCAGCCCATCACGTTCCACGTCGAACGCTATTTGCACTCCCAGGGAGCGATTGGAAAATGTGCCGCGGTGGACAGCCAATGACATGGAAAAGTAGCATGAAGAAGGCAACCTCAAGTTTGGCGGTAGTCGGACCAGTCCGTCTTCCAGGTTGCGGATCGCGAGATGCTGAATCTCAGTGGTTGGAAACATTGGATGTCATGGCCCGCAACAGACGTCGGTGGCATCAATGTTGTTCTGCCATTTTATCCCTCCTTTAATGCACAAAACAACTCACGAAACCAAAACAAAAAATCAAAATAACGTGTGTAAAACCAAAAAATCGTTTTCCGTTTTTTTTTATCGCATTTCGTGTTTTTACTTTCTCCATTTTTTTCTTCTGCCATGGTTCTGATGGCACAACGTCTATTAACAGACTGAAGATTTTCTTGATATATATATATATATATATATATATATATATATATATATATATATATATATATTCTTCTGCTGTGCGAGGCACAGCCCAATTAGGTGGTCTGATCATGTCTGCAAAACATACACAGTGTTTTTACTGAGCCGTACGCGGTTGCTTAGCGGAACCAGTGATTGCACTCAGCAGTCTCAAACACTGCACCCGTCTCCCTGAGCAGCGAATAGAAGTCTCTCTGAACCGCTGCTCCATGTTAAGCTATTTGGCGAACGGGCACCTTGTTCACGCTTCGAGTCGGACACAGTCAGAATTGGCAACTCATTCGGTGGTATTAACAATGCATTCGGCAGTACACATCCAGTCATACTGGTGTATCCTCGCTACATCGAGCTCATGCGTTCGAGTCCCACACCGAGCAGGTGGTAGTGCGGGACGTGGCAACTAGCTTGATTCCATTTCGCTGCTGATGTAATTGTTTCACTTAACCGGGTGTAACCGAACCCATTGGTTGCACAACGGACATTTCAATGTCCTGTTCACGTCTCTTTGATTGGCATTCCTAGGCTACGTAGGATGTTTCACCAGCCGTATACGAGTCCATTCCATGCATGCCGCTCCTGCGGAACATGTCGGTATCTCACGTCGCTCTCCACAAACGGATGAACATCTGCTGTTCTTGGTGCCCATACAACTGCGCTTTATCCCACAGATGCTCAATTAAGCTCATGTACTTACCGGAATTTCCAAACTCCATCAAAATAGCCTCGCCGCATCGAACGTCTTCGCTAAGTGGGAGAGCGCACCGCGATGCTTCTCCTGCAGTTGATGAACTCTTATTACGTCGGTTGTGCTGCGACACGAGCCAACTTCTCATTGTTCATCGGATACATTAGTCCCCAGCGTCTGATTAGCGAAGTGATGAATACTCACTTTTCTGTTACAACTTACTACGATGTGAACACAATAGTCCTTGGCACATTCTTATCTCCCTCGTCACCTTACAGTGGTAGCACGAAGTATCTTTTGTCTCTGAAAACACTTGATCTCTTCCCTCTACTCACGTTCCGCGAACAGTAGAATGCGTGCCTCGTTAAGACGCCGCTGCTTTTACACCTTGACTGTGTCTCATTGCGACTTCGCTAATGGACAGGTACATTCTGCATTCAATGTGATCCCGGTATGACCGTTGGTGCGACTTTTACATTTTGCTATGACAGCCCGTGTATAGTGTGCTCCTACCAACTTCTGGACTGTGATTCCCAAGCTAATGGAGGTGCGTATACTAAATCTAAGTCACAACTGCACACTGTCTGTAGACAGTGTTCATCAGATTCCTGATCGACCACATTGTTAGACCATAAGCTGCTTTAACTAACTCCGTGTGCCTCGTATCCACCACGACCATACGGATTACCGAAAGTACTCGAATCCAACATACCATTGCGTCTGATCACCGATGTGTTTGGCTACACCGTGCTGGCAGTTGCTAGGTGGTTCGCAGTATTATTCGAGCCACTGCGCAAGCGATTATCAGTCCTTGGTACAAACAATACATTTGGATATAGGTAGGAATTCGTCACATCTAACCTCACTCAGATAGCCATCACACGCCCGGAAAAGCACTTTACGCGCGTTTCATCCTTTCGGTAATCCTCAGCGGGTGGTTACCCTGTCTTCTGCACGGCAGTAAGGTACAAGTCAGTGGATAGTGAGCGGCGCTATATCAAATCTGGTAACTTATTCACCATGGTCGTTGCCGTCCCCCGTGGTCTCAACCACGGACTGACAACAGTCGAGTTGCGGGTTCGAGCCTTACCAGGGTCCGATAGAATGCGCACTACTGACGATTCCCGAAGGGATGAAACGCGCACCAAGTGTTTTTCCTGGACGTGTGATGGATGTCTGAGTGAGTCTATATGTGACGAATTTCTACCTCTACAGTTCAACTCCCCCTACTACCCCTCTGTAAACATTGGGATATATTGAAGTATCAAAAGACTTGAATGTTCCGTTGGTAAAAACTTAACCTTATTTACGAGTACATACCTGACAACAACATTGCTATTACCGTTTTAATGCAAGAGATAAAGGAATCAATCCGGCGCCACCGAATAGGATATTCGGCGGAAAGTGCTATCGAAAAACAAATAGAGTTGCAATAGGGGCGCTCCTCATTGATTTCTTCCTCGCCAAAGTTGAGCGCGGTCCTATCCAGTAACTTAACATACATTTTTTCATTTCTGCCGGCGATATATCGACGACAGGTTCATTGTGTGCGACACCCACCTCGATCAAGTCTACTCACTAGACCAGTTTATCCATACACACCCATCGATAAGATTCACTTATGAGCTAGAGAAAGACGGGGAACTTTGGATGTTGCTGCAATTGCAAGCTGATGGATCACTTTACAGAAGGGTCTTTCGAATGACAATCTGGGTTGATCACTGCACGCACCTATAACGTACAAAAGCGTTTTGTGCGTTATCCGTACTATCGTGCTGAAATAATTTGCAGTACAGAAACGATAGAAGCTGAAATCCATTTCATTCACAGGGCACTGTAGAGCAATGGCCGTCTCGGCGCCTTTGCCAAACGGCATTCAGATGTTAATAATCCCTTTGCAGTTATGCCGCCTCCAATGGAAGGGCCTTTTCCTCTTACTTTATGTCAAAGGGATATCGCTATCGAAGTACTGAGTAGACAACTGTCAATCTCGGTAAGCCAAACACATCAAGTCGCCATATTTCTCATCTTGGTCTAAAATGTTTCTCTCATCACCCAACGCCTCAAACACAGAACTTTGTTTCCTGCCGAGTCCTTTGTTCTCTATTAGTTCACTTACACCTGTGGCGAAAGGTAATTCGGGTACACAATCAGGCTTTTGTCTACGCAAATTGCGCAGCACTGTTCTGCCTGTTTACAACATATCGAGGTTAACAATACACGCAGCTCATCCCTCGAGCACTTGCGTTGTACATGACGTCATGTCCGAGCCTAGGACGCAATTAAACTAGTCTGCACGGCATCGAAGCGCAACTCCAAAACAGTCAAAAGCGTCTTTGACCACCAACAGAACCATTTCAGTTAGATTGCTACAGTTGCAGCTGTACAACCAGAAAACAATTGTACTAGCTCTCCTCTTATCTTAGCCGTAACGCGACTACTTTAACTTCGGACAGTGACTGCAGCCGAGCGTGATTTCAGCCGCCGCATTAATCGACGAATCCGTGCTGTGTGTGTGTACACTCTCGTGACTGCAATCTCGATCAATTTCAAGTTGTGACCCAACTAGTTGCAACCCCAGCTTTTACTTTCTGATTATGTTGCCTTAGATTTATAGTTGTATTTATCTTATGTGTATAACCTCAAAATGTGCCCTTCGCCATTACTGGCCCGTAGTCTTTAGGATCACAAACCTGCCTTGTAATCCGAGGACGTTGGTTCGCCACTGCGTAGGAACATGGCGACCCTCGCAGTATCCTTATGCAACGTACGACTGATGATTGTTGCGCGCCAGCGCAGCGTTGGAACTGCGTACCGGCGTACTGCTGATGCCTTGCCTCTGCGCCATTACTCTTCTCACCTCTGCATAGACATAGTTTTGGATCACAGAAATTTTCGTTTCTAGTCTTCTGCGTACCTTTGCATTGGCTTTGCTTTTTCCGCTCACTGTCCATTTTTGACGCCAAGTGGCTTTCGAGTCTGCTGCCGGCTTTTCATGCCAAACCTGTCCCTCTTCTCTACATCTTCTGGATCCCTGTGCATGCTGCGAATTTAGCAAGCTTCTCCGATGCAACTGTACCAGTGATGGCGCTGTTGTCGTTAAACTCATCTGGTCTTTTGGAGCTATTGCGCCCGAGCATGCCTGCTCCTTCTGGTGGAGATACGGAGGATTAGTTGAACTAGTAAGACCGACATCACTAAGGCATGTAACCCCTACTTGTTTGATCCTATTTTGTACGTCGGCAAGGGATTACTCCGAACCCTGCCTACCGTTCTCTACTGTGTTCTACTGTGCAATTATTGTCAATACAATCGATCCGGTGGAACTCTGTCTTTACTTTGATGCTTACCCCCTATTCACTTCTAGCGTTGCCGTCATACTTGTTTGTGCCCACTTTCTCCATTTATCACCTTGTTTCTATCCTTGAATTTGTTACAGAAACAATGGTTTTCCCCACTTTTTCACAGAAACCTGGCTGTTGGTGTGGCGATTCAAAATTTCCCTGAGGGACTCGCTGTCAGCCTACCATTGCAGAGCGCTGGGTATGGCTTCTGGACTAGTTTTTGGTAAGCACGGGCCTTCAAATTACTACTCACGCAATGGTGTGTACTCCTGACTTTTTAAATATCCCGCTTGATCGTTTTTTGGTAATTCCAATGTTCAAAAGAACTTACCGTGGCTTTTCCCATCCTCTGCTATTCTATTCTTCTGTAAAATCTCCATTTAATATTTTCGGACTGATTTTTGTTCTTATGGCGTTTCAGCTGATTGTCAAATTCAAATGTCCGTATGCGTTTTTGGCTTGGCTACCAATATTAGGTGACGTTTCCAGGCGAAGTGCTAGTGTGTCGCACTTCAACCTCCTATAAGTTTCCGATGCATCATCGCTAATTACACGTGTGTAGATATCATTGCAGATTATGATGAAGATGGTAAGTTTCCATCCACCTGTACCGAGGAGTACCGTTACCTTGGTAGAGCTGTAGCTGACGTTAGTACTTTTTGCTCTCCGTTTCGTCCGCTCAGTTTATCATGCTCGATGTTAGCATGATTTTACTAGTTGGCTGCCGCTACTCGGTTTTGTATAAACTCCTTCCGGACTCTGACTAGAAGTGGTTACACAGACTCAAATTCTGTCCGCTTCGTTGGGGTTCTCCACTAGGGTTATAACTTTTTCTATGAAACCAGTTTATCTTTTGTCTTAGCCAAATTTTCACAACGTTGCACCTAAGCTTTTGTGTCAACCCTTTTATTAGATTGCAAATGGGGGAAAACCTTCGTCTCTGTTCCCAATCTGTGACTTTTTCTCTAAGCTGCCGGTTCTTTTATAGCAGTGTAAGCCAGATCAGGTAATTCATGGTCGTTAGAGAGTGTTGGCAATTTTTTTAGTACACAACTTGAGAATGTTTATATCAACCAATCAGATAACACTCATATTCATAAAAGCGTTGAACGGCTGTATTTTTCTAATGGAAGGAGTTTAGTCCGTGTTTTCGTGTTTGTTCAACTGTGACCATCTGCGCCAACTAGATCATATCCTGCATATATCCGCTAATCGAATACCTCGGCACGTGTGGCTGTCCAATACTGCAGTTAGACAAAACGCTTAAGCGTTTTTAACCATCGATGCGACAAAGAAACATGCAGAAACACTGTATAGTAGAGCGGCACTGGTGATTGCCATCGTATCGTAGCTCGAAACCTTAGGATCGGTCACTTCAGTGACTAGACATCCTATCGGCTGTAGCCCTGTCGTTACTTCACCAACACTGCTTCGCTCAACAACGGTATAAAAAACATGGTAACAAGGACCGTGTTGTCGAACCAAGTCAACATAAGAGAGGCATTTCATCCCATCTGCCCGATACCCTGAAATTACACGCGAACTGGCGACACCAGAGGCAATAGCTATTCGGTTTAAAAAAAATAACCCGGAGCTATGCGCTCCAAAAATACTCTTACAGGCCATTAGGCTGTCCTGACCACGGCCCGCTTCGACTACCGATGCCGTTAACTGCGGATAACGGCTTCCGGTCGGTTATTTTTGGCTGTGATGACAAGACCACTTTGTGTTGGCTTTCTACATTCATTGGAAGTATTTCGTGGAAATTGAGCTACAATTCAGTTTCATTTCCGATTCTGAAATTTCCGACCAGAAATACTTGTGTTTTCATCGCTTGGTTTCGGCGATCTTGCTATCGTCATTTTCTCCGTCAATTGGCCGCCATCTTGTTTTCGGAGTATTCACAATGCCGAAGCAGTCATCCTGTGGTACTTGCTCTAAACTAGTCGGATACCTTGCAAATGCCCGCACGTGTGTTTTATGCCAAGGTAAATACCACATTTAATATGTTGGATTATCAGTTGAGCATTTTCATCGTCTTCGCGAGATCCAACACGATTTCTTCCAAATTATATGTGAAAACTGCCGAAATAAGATACAGCCAGAAAGAGTAAAGCCGACGTGTAGACCTCAGCGTTTCGTTGCGAACAGCTCCATGTGTTTGGCCCAACAACCTAGCCCGAAGTGCGTTCAGGTTTCGGCTCAGCCGTCCTTCTTTACCCGTGCAAACTCACCGATACGAATTTCAACCGTTGTGAGAAGCCCGGGTGCACCTGGCCTAAATTGTTTACCTTTGTTGTGTCCAACGGACACTGATGTCCCAGCAGGTGAAAGTCTGAGTGCTGAAGACCAGTGGAAAGAATAGAGAACGAAATTACGAAGGGACGTTGGGCGTTTACGTTCGGTAACTCAACAGTTAGCCAAACCACTTGAGGCTGGTAGTATACTTCGCCCTGCAAGGTCAACCTCGTCCGACCAGAGGCGTTATAATCTCGTGATCTTTCACGCTCCGGAGTCCAGTGATCCATCACCCCAAGTGCGCTACGATCAAGATGTCGAGTTTTTACAGGGTCTAATTGATAGACTCCTCGACGCTGGTGAGGACTCTTTAAAAGTGAGGCAAGGTGATCAACAAAATCGGCCTATGAGAATCACTTTTTTTGGATGAAGCCAGTCCAAGACTGAACTTGTCGCGCCTAAGTAGGCTGAAAGGTTTGAAGATCCATGTTCGTCTAGACCTGGACTCAGTAGACAGTGCGCGGCTCAAGTCTGCCATCATTGAGCTGAAAAGACGCACTGGTGAGGGGGGAACAAATCTTCGTATCGTAAATTTTCGGGTGGTTCCCAACAATCCGCGAATCAGGATAAACAGGCTGCCCACACTTCAAGCACGCCCGGCGGCTCCTGTTGCGGCCTGCGAGTAGACTTCACAAACGTTCGCAGTATGATGAATAAGCGCGATGAGCTTTGTTGTTTCGTTGCGTCTGAGCGGCCAGACGTAGTGCGACTCGCAGAGACATGGCTGCATGCAGAGTTATACACCCAAGAACCTGAACTCAACGGTTACTCATGTTTCCGATGCGATAGACTAAAGAATGCCCACGGTGGTGTCTTACTTTACATCCGGTCTTCCCTGCTTGGGAGACTTGTGTGCACCTACCGAAGTGACGATGGTTTGTGTGAGCTACTGTGGTGCTCCACCCGCCTTAGGCACGGAGAACTACTTGTGAGCGCAGTCTATCGCTACCCCCCGAGTCCTTGTTTGGATTGGCTGTCCCATCTTCGAACCCACATGAGTCGCCCACACTTTCTGCTTATGGGCGATTTTAACTGTCCTCGAATACGATGGCTTGATGGGCATTTGATGTTTGGACATATTGATGTTGAAGCAAAGTTCGTGGATTTGGTACTTGAAACTAGTGCATCGCAACACATGCCAGCCAGCACGCATATCAACACGTTCAACCCCGTCCTGTCTCAACCTGATGTTAACGAGCTATGAACAACAAGTGCGTGACGTTAGGATCCTGGAGCCACTGGATACGAGCGACCACTAAGTACTGATAGCTGATATGGAATCATCTTTGCCGTATTCACATCCGCTGTAACTACATCACAATACTGGAAAACGGACTTTGATGGTCTAGCTCGAACCGCGAGCCAACTGGATTGGTCTCTGTCACAAGCTGCATCTGTGGAACATTGTTGGATATTTTTAAAAGAGAGATTGACATCATTGTGTTCCCAATTTGTGCCATTGAAATGTCGGAAGGTTGGACCGACCAAGCCTCATTAGTTTGACAACGAGTATGGAAACCTGGTTCGGGGGCTGCGCAGACTGTGGCACAAATTCCTCCTCTCTGGCTCTGCCAATGATTACGAAGGGTATAAATGTCAGCGGAACCTCTGCAACAGTGCAAAAAAGAATAAACGCCGGAATTTCGAAGAGCAGCTCGCATTAGCCGCGAAGACCACCCCAAAGAGAATCTTTGCATACGTGAAGCGACGCCTGAAACCGGCAGGTGATGTGCCAGTGCTAGATGCACGGATGGACAGCCCCTAACCTCGAGCACTGAGCGTGCGTCCGCGTTGGCGGCGCACTTCGCTTCTGTATTTGCGAATAACTAGGTGTCTCTTCCGAGTTCGACGTGTACCGCTTTTACCGAAATCGATAGTCTGCATTGCGGCGTTGAAGAGGTTGCACAACTACTCGCCAACCTTGACGGCACCAAATCTGCCGGACCTGATGGGCTTCACCCACTGGTTCTCAAGTCACTTTCAACCATCCTCTCCTGTCTTGACTGACCTTTTCAACAGGTCGCTGTCCGAATGTTTGTTGCCCATTGCCTGGAAATGTTTGGTGGTGAAGCCTATTCCGAAAGGCGACCCTAGCAAAGTAGACAATTACAGGCCACTTTGTCTGACACCTATTTTGGCAAAGGTTGCTGAGAAAATCGTGAAGAAGGGATTGCTGCAGTTGCTACAGTCAAACGAGGTCCTGACGCCCGCACATCACGGTTTTATGCAAGGTCGCTCATGCATTACGAACCTGCTTGTGACGAGGCATGAGTGGCTGCAGGCAATAAGCAAGGGGAAGTCTGTCGACGAGATATTCATGGATTTCAGTAAAGCGTTCGACAAGGTCAGTCATGAGGTTCTCCTTCACAAACTCAGGATGTGTGGTGTCGGTGGCTCACTGCACCGGTGGATCCGCGACTTTCTTGTTGGACGAAAGTGGACGGTACACATCGACGACCATCTAACTGACTGGTACCCCTCTACAAGTGGCGTGCCTCAAGGCACTCTGTTCCTGATCCACATCAACGATCTAACGCAGCTTCTGCGGTCGCTGTGTGCTTTGTTTGCAGACGACATGAAGATTTGGAGAGAAATCGACGCTCCTGATGACTGTGGCCTACCTCAGCAAGACCTAAACCGCCTGTCCACATGATCTGCAGAAGTTCATCTCCCGGTCGACCCAGCCAATTCTGTATTTATGAGCCTGGGGAAGGGCGCTAACGGCCGAACCTACACACTTGACGACCAAACGTGAAAAACCTAGGTGTACTCTCAGGCTACGATTTGAAGTCCGTTGACAACACGAACAGGCTATATCGTAACGGACTGCGCATGCTTTGGGTGCTCAAACGTAGCTTCGGCACATGGTCTGAAGAGGTTGTCACTCGCATCTTTTCTTCTATCCTTAGACCAATGCTAGAGTACGATTCACCCGCCTACTTTCCGATTACCTGAGGCGAAGCACAGAAGATCGAACGGGTCCAACACGTTTCTACCAGGCTTATCCCGAGTTCACATGGTTTGGGGTATGCTGACGGGTGCGAGAAACTAGGACTCTACACCTTGTCCTACCGTCGGGTACGAGTCGACCTCATTATGACCTACCGTATTCTACATCTCGGTGACTTCCCCATGCTGAGACCAATGCTGCACTTACGAGGGCCATACAGCACACGCGGATGTGAAATGCGTTCCCCCTCCACTGTGCTTCGTACGGAGGGTGGTAAACATATGGAACAGTTTAGCTGGACATGTGATTGAGGCAACATCTGTGTAACAGTTCAAAACGTTGTTAGATTTGTATTTTGCCACTGTTCGATTCAGAGAACGGCTGCACACTTACGATGACATCACATTCATGAATCCTGAAATATCGTAAGTCGAATATTTTAAATATTACATTAGAACAACAACGATATTCACGGCTGACAACTTTTATAACGTTTTTCACCATATTTCGAGAGAGTTGTACAGAATTCATTTCTACTTGCTCTATAATACAGTATTCAGTACTCAGATCACGCCATGTTCCATGAGTTGATCATGATTAGACTAATTTTCAACACTTATTCATCGGATTTGATTTAACCCCCTCCCTATTGTAACGTATTTACCATTCGATGAACCACAAAAAGCGCGCTCGTCCGCCACACCTTACTTTTGATATCTTCCAAGGGAATATTTTCTCAGCTATCTCCAATTCTTAACCATTTCATCTGGTGGTTTTAATTACTGTTCAGTTCTGTTAAACAACTATGATCCCAGCATCATGTGCAACACTGCGGTAACTTTATGAGCAACTGACCTCCCAGGGCATCAGATATGCGACTTCCTCTCTCAGCATTTCCACTGCATCCAGTTACATAGATCTCTCATTGGCTCCAGTTGATTGTCAATGTTCATTTTGTGCCTTAGATTGGTACTTCGGTCGAATTGCATAACTGTGCTCCGTGCACGGACATGCGGTGTACCCAGTTGCCACGAATCGTCGTCAGAATACTACTGGTAACAACACCAAGGAAATAAGGTCGGTGGTTGCAAAATAATTCACAAGATGACCTCAAGAAAATGTGCGTTAAACCAATCACTATGATATAAAAACTAACGGATAGATGAAAGAAATTGAAAGTAGGAACGCTACCGATTGCACGACTGTGCCATGTATTATAGAGTCTTCACTTACTGGTGTGGGCCATCCCGCAGCCCTGATCCAAGAAGACGGTACACACCATCCTGATCAACTTTCTCTGTTGATTTCTAAATGCGTTTATGTCACCTCATCTACTGGCCACCTCGCGGTTTCACCAATTTGGTGCGGCAACGGAGTATAACGCGTGCCTAGTAAACCGGTCAACGGGCATACGGATGTCAAGACCTGACCAACGTAAGCGGTTGAGTTTCAGGGGACGCTCCAATGGAGTAACAAAGGTCGTCTTGTCAAAACTGTTGTTTCCCTTGGCTAGTTGTTTAAGGGAATTGGTCCGCCGACCTTTCCCTAACCTCTGAAGAGCATTGGATTGTGAGACTGAGTTAGTCTGACCCCTAACGCTTGATCTGTCTGGTATGAATGGCTCTGTAGGCACTTAGAGAGTGACACCCAGCGTAGTTCAATGGGTCATGGAGGTACACGAACCACCATACCACTTCAAGGTCCAGTCTCATCGCGATGGTTCATGCTAGATATCATTGGATTTACCTATCGTTATGTTCCGCAGGTCTTGTAATTCACACTCTACATTCTCACAACCATGTGCTTGTATTCTCTTCAGCTCTGTTTGCTTTCTAGAAGTTTGCCGCCGTCCGAGCACCGAATTTTCCGCGACTCGCGCCATCACGTCGACAACAAATAACAACTCTGAAAAGTAGAGTAGGACGCATAGAGAGCACAAAGAAAATGGAGTTAAGAAGTGCGTACAATGCATCGGGATAGAATGCTGACAGATGCAGAAGCGCCAATTACTAACTGACTAAACAATGTCCGATATTCTCTCCTCCCACTGATGTGGTTCATCTCAAGGCCTCCAGACACAATGTTCACGGGTACAGGCCTGACCAAGCCTCTTGGTCAGTTTCTTCGTGCCACCTCATCAAGGTTTCGCCCAACTAGGTGCAGCAGCAGGATATTAAATCACATCGAGGAAGGTGGTCAACGGAAGACATGGTCTAGCCAACGTATGGGACTCGAGTTTAACAGGTATGCAGATGAGTCATCAGAAGTTTTCTTGCCAGGTAATAACAGGCCTACTTCGGCATTGCTCGTCCGGCGTTCCCGCCGGATCTAAACACTACACCGTAAGCATTGTTCAGTCTCTCAATATCTTCAGCACTAAGTGATCAGGTACCTGATAAGTACAGTAACACGGCTCTTATTGTGGTGACATACTCTTCTTTTCACAAGCAGGCCGATATCTCCCCATCTCGGGAACCGTTGTATATTCACACGCGCTTCATTGATACGTGAACTAACTTCCTCAATGTTGCGCCAACCAGAGACGGCTTAACCACCAAGCTAGTTGAGCCAGTTGACTAATTCCTTTGGCTGTTCAGGGATAACAGAAACCAATGGCGTGTCGGACCAGTCCCGAGACATTGCTTCATATTTTGGAAGTGTGAAACACATATTGAAACGTACATTACCACACGTCGGCTTATTCTGCAGTGTTTGCATTGCCGCTGTGTCCGGCCTAAGGGAACCTACGTCGTCGGCAAACTCAAGGTTTGTTAGTTATCCAACTAACGGAACTTCCACTCTAGCGTCGGCTGATAGGCAAATGTTCACCATACCTGAGAAGTTTCGGGTGGTCATTTCGTCCTATTTGAACCCATTAGCGTGTCACGCCTACCCCCAACTTCGATATCCTATTGCATAGTACTGGTTTTGGATGCATAGAGACTGTCTGGCTGAATCTGCCGGCGGTCTATTTTCTCAAATGCTTTAAAAATTCTCTTACTTTCCTTCTATACCTCAGCCCCCACAGGGTTGCCGTACCCCAAGTACATTCATTTATAAAACTTTCAGTCTTTTTAAATCCATGGTGAGCACCCTACCGGCTCGTCAACCGTCTGACTTGTGAAAATATGGACGATTGTTTTGTAAATTAGAACGGCATCAGAAATGCTCCATATGCTGGTACCCATCTTAATTTTTAGGTTTGGCCAACTCTCTGGTCTGGTTGAGCCGGTGGCTGGCGTCTTGGGCTGTCTCGCTGCTCAATTCCTGCGCAAATTGCAACCCTACGCTCTCGGATTCGCTGCGGGTGCGATGATCTTCGTCGTGTTGGACGATGTCATTCCGGAGGCACAGAACAGGTGATTGCTGTCATTGTTGGGATGCTACTGCCTCTTTGTTGCGGCCTTATTGCATTCTTCTTTCGTTTTCCTTTTCACGTACCTCCTAGTCATAGTGGATACATGCCATTTCACCCTTGCGCTGAGATTAAGCGAAAATTCAGTTTACTCTGTGTTTCTTAACAGTTTCAAGTCATGTTAGGATATGCTTGATGCGCACTTGGAGGGTGAATACTCTGATATAACACACGCGCTGCTAACCGCCTCCTGTCGGTTCTCTTTCTTACCTCTGTTCCTTAAACGTCCACCGTTTGACCGTGCTTGTTCTGGTATACCGCTGTTTCGATGAAGCTTGTGTACACCTTGTATTCATTAGGACGTACTAAGTGGCGCCTCCTACCCTTTTAGTCAGCGGTTGGCGGTCAAATGAACACTGCCGTTACCACTCAGTCTAGGAGTTGAAAGTTGCATGAAAATGACCCATCTTATGAACCTCTGCCAAATCCCTAACATACCCCGCCTTTGGTGATTTGCTTGTTGATGTCTTACAAACGAACGCATCTGCTTATCATACGCGTCATGTTGGTTAGCCGTGGAGTGAAGCTGCTTATGACGCTGGATGAGGCGAACAGCGCGGTCGCTTCTGTTGCTCATTTGTTCGCCGAGTTTGAACATTTGGTTGCATGCGTCTCACCCCCATACGTGGTGGTATCGCTGATATTCAGAATGTAATCTTGCGGATTGGATCGCCGATCGTCACTCTTTCACCGGTGCCAAATAATCTCATCGCATTGGCCACCTGTTTGTGAGAATAGGATGTTGTTAAGGTGCAGGCACCTTACTCCTGGATATCGGATCACAAGCAACTCGGGACCCATGTTTCTGTTGTCCGTCACAATCCAAAACCCGGCAGTCAACTTCTGACCGCTGTGTCAAGCTCTGCTCGCGGGACTCAATGGCTTAGTGATCATGGCGCTAACCGCCAAGCGATATGTGCTGAGTTCCACTCCCAATTCAGACTATCTCTACTTGATGAATTCAAACGAGGGCGAAACCGCCGGTTGGGGAGTGCAGTGATGGTTGAAAGCAACACCGGAACCCTCAAATTTGGATACGATCCCAGCGATCGGAATGGCAGAGCCTCACTTCAAAGTCAACCGAGGCCACAATTGAGAGTGCGTGTCGCAATCCGAGACACGTGGCGGGTACTCCAAAACCCGACAATATCCATCAGTCTCTTCGGTCAGGAAGCAATTATTGCTCCGATTGGGATCACCTCGGTCTTCAAGTCCTACCAGATCTTACTCCTCCGTCTTACCGAGGCTGTGGTAACAAACTGGGTCGAACCGATATTTCGCATTTAGCAACGGTTTTGGGTTGGTGGAGATGTGTTTCGGTGTCTCTGACTCAGCATTTCACTCTCCGTGATCAGCTTTGCTCCCATTGTGGAGCTGACTAGAGTTTCAGGTGAGACGCGCCGCGTAATAGTTGGCTGCTGACAATTTGCTGAGTATGTTACTGAGTTCCTCTTTAGACACTTGGCACGACAATTAGAAATCCATTCTCTTTCATATATATATATATATATATATATATATATATATATATATATATATATATGTGTGTGTGTGTGTAAGAGAATGGCTTTCTAATTAAATAAAGGCTCCGGGCGGAGTTCCTCAAGCAAACCTCCGAAGCGCAACGACCACCTCGCGTGCGATTGCCCACCAATGCAATCGTATGCCTGCACGCAAAGCACTCAGCATCGGGTGCTGAAACGTGCGCACACTACTGGACCGGAACTCAAGCGAGCGCCCGGAGCGACGCACTGCACTCGTCGCGATGGAGCTGGCGCGCTACAACATCGATATTGCGGCGCTCAGTGAAACCCGGCTCGCTGAGCAAGGTAAGTTGCATGAAGCAGGTGCTGGCTACACATTCTACTGGGTGGGCAACGCCGCCTCAGCACCACGTGATCCTGGGATCGGATTTGCAATCTCCGATCGCCTCCATGGACAGCTGCTGGGTGAACCAACGGGCATCAACGCGCGACTGATGACTGTTCGCCTCCGACTCGGAAGAGGTAAGTTTTCTATTTTTATAAGCACGTACGGTCCGACCATGTGTTATCCTGATGACACGCGTGGTCAATTTTACACTGAGCTATCCTCCGTGATACGGTCTGTGCCGAGGAGCGACCGACTATTTCTGCTGGGTGATTTCAACGCGCGCGTTGGGCGTGATTCATCAGCGTGGACAGATCTTGTCGGTGCGCATGGCATTGGCTCAGCGAATGCGAACGGTGACAGGCTGCTCTCACTGTGTGCCACTCACAGCCTGACGATCACGAACACTCGGTTTGCACTGAGTGCGAGTGATATAGCAACTTGGACGCACCCACGGAGTGGTCACGCTCACCTGCTCGACTATGTCATCGTACGTCAGCGTGATATGCGTGAAGTGCGCATGACACGTGTACTGCGTGGAGCTGAGTGTGGCACTGATCACAGATTGGTGCGGACCAAACTATGCATATATTTTCGTAAATCTATGTATTGCACTCCCGCTCTAATTCGGCTTAAATTTAATCTGCTCTCCATCGCTACTGGGGCGAAACGTACTGGGCTGGAGAAGGCGATGGCTGCACGCTTGTGTGGTGATGTGGACTGCATAGCCACAGTGGGCGACCTGTAGCACCACATTCGTGACCAGGTGACAGCTGCTGCCGAGGAGACCATCGGGCGCGCAAACTGTAAGCGGCCTGATTGGTTTGATGACAACAATGCGACGATTGGCGCGTTGGTGTCGGAGAAGAATGCAGCATTTGCTGCACATGTTGCGGACCCCAGTGACTTGGGGAAGAGTAGTCAGTTACGCAAACCTCGACGGCGACTGACCCTAGAGCTCTGTCACATAAAAATGCATGGTGGACGGAGAAGGCGAAGCATATGGAATGCAACGCCGAACGCCACCAACACAATGAATTCTTAGATTCCTTGAAGGCGGTGTATGGACCGATGTTGGGACGTTGAAGACGCTGATCGATGGTAGTTCTGACGTTACCTGCACACAGACTGCAGACATAATGCAGATCTGGCGAAAACACTTTGACTGTCTCTTGAACAACCGTTCAGAGATCGACTGGCCTACATTGAACGGCCTGAAGCAGCACGATGTGAAGACGAGTCTAGCGAACACACCGACACTGGATGAGACGTAGAGAACACTTGCTCAGCTGCGAAACGGCAAATGTGCCTGAGCCGACGGGATCCCGCCGGAAGTATTGAAACACGGCGGACCCGCGTTGTTGACTGCGCTGCACCATTTGGTGCAACGCGTGTGGATTGAGGAGCAGGTGCCTCCTGAGCTGAAGGATGCCCTTGTGCTACCACTGTACAAGGGCAAAGGTAGAAAGCAATGTTGCACGAATTATCGTGGCATCAACTTGCTGAGTTGTGTGAGCAAGGTGATTGCCCGGATCCTGCTCAACCGCCTCGTCAGTCAGGTTGTGGAACCTAACGTGGCGGAAGAGCAGTGTGGATTTCGTTCGGGTCGCAGAACTATAGATATAGTGTTTGCGGCTCGTCATTTGCAAGAGAAGTGCAGAGAACTACACCAATCATTCTACTCGCTTTTTGTTGTTTTCACCAAAGCATTTGATACGGTGAACCGTGAAGAATTGTGGTTGGTGTTGGGTAAGTTTGGTTGCCCGCGTAAGTTCGGAAGATTACTTGAATGTCTGCACATTGGTTTGCGAGCGAGGATGCAGCTGAGTGGAGAGACCTCGGATGACTTTGTCGTTGTCTCTGGTGTGAAGCAAGGCTGTGTCTAAGCTCCTGCCCTGTTTAATATATATCTTCATGGAATGTTGTCCTGTGCTTTTGATGCCGCTTGTGCTTACAGTGTTCGTGTGGAGCACCGTATTGAAGGTGGGTCGCTGAACATCCGTCGTTTCGGTGCGAGAACTCTAGTCTGTGAGACAACTATCCGTATGTTGCTGGTTGCTGACGACTGTGCGTTGTTTTCACACATCGCGGATGAGTTGCAGCACATGACTAGTGCTCTGGCTTCGACAGCGGCAAAATTTGGGCTCACCATCAACACAAGCAAAACTGTCTGTCTCTTTCAGCCTTCACCGGAGGTGCAATCTTCAATATTGCCGCAAATCAGCATTGGTGTTGAAGTATTGGAAACCACCTCCCGCTTCAGCTACCTTAGGTGTGTGATGTCGACTGATCAGCAGCTGCACAGTGAGCTTCGTATCCGCGTGTCGAAGGCAGCGACGGCATTCGGGAAGCTTGAGTACAGAGTGTGGAACAACCATCAGCTTACCATTGGCACGAAGCTGATGGTATACAAATCCATGGTGCTGTCCGTTCTTCTATACGGCAGTGAAACGTAGGCGATGTACCGGCGGGATGTGCGTTATCTCTAGCGGTTCCATCAGCAGTGTTTGCGACGGATTTTGCGCATCGGCTGGAGCGACAGTGTTGCAGACACCGAAGTTTTGCGCCGAAGCGCGATGTATGCAGTGGACTGCATACTTTTATTGAGACACCTTAGGTGGACCGGTCATGTGAGCCGTATGCATTCGACGCGGATACCGAGGCAGCTATTATATGGTCAGCTGAGTACTGGGAAACGGCACGTGGGGAAACCAATGTTACGTTACGAGGACATGATTAAGGTGAGCCTCACACGTTCTAATCTTGATTGCAGATCATGGGAATCGAAGGCGCTTGCTCGGCGTGCATGGCGCGATCTCATCACGAAGGCAGTTGCTGAAGTGCGGGAGAAAGACCTCATACTTGCAGAGAAGAAACGGCAAGCACCGATGGGTTGTACTCCATGGACATCGAGCGCATGGTGCTGTAGCACATGCGGTCGCGAGTGCCTTAGTCAGGCAGGCCTAGTGAGCCATGAGCGAGGCCACTCGGAACCAGTATCGAAGCGACGACGAGTCCTGAAGAGAACGTAGGCAGAACCTACGGAGCGTTTGTAGGTACGCTGCATTCGATTTACTAACTGCGTGCTTGCATGCTAAGTCTCTTTATTTCAGGTCGTGGGTTTTCAGTTTTGTCCTAATGCCTTTCTTTCTCATATAAATGTCTAGTTTGCCATGAGCGAGGCCACTCGAGACCACTACCGAAGCGACGACGGGTCCTACAACGAACGTAGGCAGAACCGGCGCAGCGTTTGTAGGTGCGCTGCATTCGATTTACTAACCGCGTGCATGAATGCTAAGTCTCTTTATTTCAGGTGGTGGGTTTTCACTTTTGCCTTAATGCTTTTCTTTCTCATATAAATGTCTACCTGTACTCTACTCCATTAACTTGCACACGTCGCTTAAGCCAATTGTAGTCGATTTCCATAACACTTTTATGTTCGTGGCATTTCCGTAAAGTATACTTTCTGACCTCGTGAACTTATCTAGGATTCGTTTGTAAACAACATTTTTCATATGCTCATTAACTTAAGGTTTATGTCACCGTTTCCTTATGTATTAATCGAGTTATTTTCTTTTTATCTCTCTCTCAAGTGATTGGCTGTTGTTTGATATCCCCGGTGTGGCTGCGCTTGATGTGCATGTTGACAAGGTGCCTACCTGTCTATTATCCACTACCTCGTTCATACTGGCTCCAGGAGACAGTTGGTCGTTACTGGAGGGGACGGGGTGCACGGTCCTTGTGGCCGTGTTAGGCCCGAAGTGTGGTTCCATGCACTCAGTGTGGAGCGGACTACGGTCCAGCCACCGCCTTGTGTGCGCTTGATTCCCCAAATACAGCGTGCCTGTGAAGGAGTGTGGGCCGGCTCCGTTGATGAAACCTGGCTCCCATCCACATGCCTCCCGGTCTTATTCCTTCGGGTTTACACTCTACATGGGGTGTGTGGTTGGAGCTGTGGGTGGTGCAGCGCAAGCTACCCATGGTCCCTCTGTAGGCGCAGGCGTCTTGTGGCTGGCCACAGTGACAGGCAAATCCGAAACCGGATGCCGCCAACCATATATATTAAATGAGTCAGTCTGAACCGATTCTTCCTGGCATATTATTTGGTGGGCCTTTACAAGACAAGCGCGAACTGAGGATCGTTTGTAGTTCAAAGGACAGTAACTGTTAACATGCATTTACTGTTCAGTCCAGCTCGGTTTCCGGTAAATCGATCTTAGTACCGAACCATCTGCTCTTCTCTTCAACACAATGTTAAAGAAATGAAACGAACAACCTGACTCACTCTCCATAATGAATTTAATTTCTGGATTACACTGGTTTAACATTTTGCCCTGCTGAGCAGTGACAACCACTACAAAAATGTCGTCGATGTGCCTTGTGTAAAGGTGTGCTGCTTCAATGGTATCGCGCAATTTGCTATTCTCCAGGTGGCCCATAAAGATGTCGACTAAAATTGATCCAAGAAGACTACTCACCGCTACGCCGTCGATTTGACCATAAAAATTTTCCATCAAAGCAAAAATAGGCATTCTTCGTACAAATTCGGAGTAAGGTTTCTGGTCTCTTATCGGTGTATTGGCAGGCCGACTTTGTCCGCAGGCATACCTATGATGTTCAAGGTCTCTTCCAAAGGAACGTTAGTGAAAACAGAGCAGACATCGAAAGATGTCAGGGCTTAACTTAAGTCTTCAAATTCCCTACTTTCTCAACAATCACAGCCAGCTCAGAACGAATAGGTTTAAGTCGTTTGGCCAATCACCTTGTCGGTTTTTGGTGCGGCACCGCAAACATTGAAGGAATTGGGCCTAGGGGTACCCCATCTTTCGACAATCCAAACATGCTAAGATGAGCTCAGATGGCAGAATTCCGTCATAGTATTTGCTTCGATTAGTCTCTCTATGTAGCATTCGCAGCTCACAAATTTTCATCATCATCAGTACACGTTAGCTGAGGGTGAGAAACATACCTCAGCTAATGTGCGAAATACAGAAAGGATAAGATACTAAACATTACGGATTACAAAAAGGTTAAAAAGCAAGTAATATACTGTTAACTATCATATTATGCACTTGGGATGAGATCGTAATTGTAAGGAGAATCTAGTGACGAGGAGAGATGGGCAAAAACTCACAACACAAACTCCATTGAGGCCGGCTCCTAGCTGTAACAGCAAGTGTGTCCAACCAAACGTGTTCATCGTCCATGGGACCCCAGCCAGTCAGTCAGGATGCACCAATCGACGCCAGTTTCGAAGTGAGGGCTTTCATTCCTCTCGGCCAACTCATCGCTTGGCCTCCCCTCCTCTTCCAACCGCACCCCGGCGCGCAAACAATGCACGTCGCGGGAGTCGGTGTGCTGGCATGCGCAACGCGTGGCCTAGCCATCGGAGCCTGATGCGTGATACAACGGTGCTCATTAATTCACTTGCTCTCCCTGCACTAACTACGCGGCGCCGAACACGTTCATCACTCGCGCGGTATTCCCACCAGACTTGAGCTAAGCTGCGAAGGCCGCGATGGTGGAACGTAGCTAGCCCCTTTATGTCCTTCCAACTAATGGGCCAAGTTTCACAACCGTATAAAAGTGTTGAACGGACAGCTGCATTTTGAACTCTGCCCTTCCCAGCGAGATTCGTGTCGTTCTGTCAGATCCCTGACGAATTTACTCTCATTTGTGAACACCGATTGCATTTTTTGAACATGGGCCTTACACATTGGCTACATTTCCAGACCCCTTGTCAGGTTCTGAAACCATCTGAATTCAGGTCATCCCACCCAAATGTTGTTCGTCCTTGCTATCTTAACGTTTTTGGATGGAAATGGCTGCATTGGATACAGTGATGTCGTCTCCAAATCGCGATGTCGTTACCTAGAATCGTCTCTACGCCACTGGGTTCGCGGTTGTCCAGAGCACCCTCCAGGATGTCGTCCATAGCGAAGTTGATGAGGAACGGTAATGCAGGGCAACCACTGGGCAAAAATCCGCCGTACACTCTGCCGGAGGTTCGAGAGTAAATTGCTTGAAAAATGTTAACACACTTTACGAGTACTCCTCAACAGACAATTCCAGAAAGCAGCTTCGTCAATTGGCCACATAGCTAATTCATCTCACATCCCTCACTAAGGGTGACCGACTCTTCAAAAAGTCTTCGCCACTCAACTATATGTACGACACGGCTAGTGTGCTTTTCACTCAAGTATTCACTGTTCTATTGACCAACCAGCTTGTACGTTATCTCGGTACTTCCTATGCGTTCGAATGGATTCGGTAATTCTATACCCTGCTATATAATTAAACTGCATTTTCGTCTACACGGTATGCGCCTACATTTCATTACTTTACTGTATCGTTTCCTCTCCGTCTGCGTCTCTCTTAGGGGAAACGGCCGCCTCGCATCCATATGTGGAATCGGAGGTTTCATTGTGATGATGGTCATGGACATTGTCACCCACGCAGATTGATTGTCCAATCGTTGCTGGCGTCAGCAAAACACTTCTCTTCAGGATCTCCCCTCCCAGATACTCGTCCCACTAAACATATCAAGCACAACCCGTGACAATCCACATTTCCTCGAAATGGATTGCTTTCTGTTTTCTTTTACACATTCCCCGTCCGTCGGATCAACATCGATTGGGTTGTCTTTTTTCTTTTGGTCCCCCCTATTCTTCCGGTTTTTGATCTTTGGCCGATCGATTGATTCTGATGTTTTCATTTATGATGCATACTTCTCGGCACTTCGAGGCATCGCCGGTTGCAAGGAGTCTGCTCGCAGCAGAATATTCTGTCGCGATGCTAACGTAGAGCAGTAGTGTCCACATTCACGGACGAAGGCAGCGAAATATATACACGTTGCAACTGGAATTGAAATAGAAGTATATTAAATTGCCAAAAAATAGTTGAATGTGCGTTTATCCTTGCATTTTGGACAGCTTTCTGCCAGTATGCTCTCGTGCAGTAATTAAAGCTGGTTTACCTGGCTACTCACTACTGAGGTGTGATCGCACTTTCGCTCTTGACGGAGGTGGCGTTGCTTTATACGCTAACTCTGCGTTAACTATTTTCAAAACGTATACATCCCGTTCCATAGATTCTTCCGTCGTGGTGCTCGCGGTTAATTTGCATATCTCTCATACAAAACTTAAAATTGTGCTGGTTTATAGAAGCCCCGATAGTGTTGCAAGGGGTCTCATTGATTTCAGCCGTGTTCACTCGACAAATAGGTGTTTAGTGATAGCGGACTACAAAACGTTGACTGGCAGAATTTCTTCTGTGGTGCTGCTCCAGGGAGCTTTAGCATTAACGTTCCAGATCTAGCCCTGCAGGTTCCCCTACATCAATTTGTTGACCGACCAACCAGGTTCATGTCTGTCATTCAAGTGCGCTCTCAACCGAGTACCCAATGACCGCGCCATCTGAAGACCAAACATATGGCGTGCTGTTTTTCAAGCAATGATAGTAAAAGCCACCAACTCACCTTGTGTCATTTCGGAAACCGATAATATTCAAGCAGGCTGGGACACATTCAAGTCCTACTTATCTTAGTTGTATCTCCCTCAGATACCAATTTCTGTGAAAAATAAAATTTAAGCGAAGCCACCCTGATTTGATTCCGCGGCACGAAAGCTACTTATCAGACAGACCCGATACCGGCGTGCTCATGTATCTTCTCCTTGAGCATGCACTTTTCAAATTTACCGAAAAGTTTAGAATGACTGCAGCCAGTATCTGCGTCGTGCTCGGTTACAACATGAACCCAAACTTGCTCGTACAATCTCATCAAACCCAAAACACTTTTTCGCTTGCATCAAGTTGGAGGTGACATGAATTCCTCCATCCCGATGTTGTTCGGTCTTGATGACTCTGCTGCTGTCACTGATCTTAGTAAGGCTTCTTTGCTTGGGGAACAGTGGGCCGGTATGTTTGTTCGGGAGTCTGGAGGAGGTTTCTATCCCGCAAGCTCAGGTGCGCAAGTTTCTATCAGATCTAAATTCTAATAAGGCTGCAGGGGTAGACGCTATCCATCCCAAATTGTTGTATGTGTGAGCTCTCGGGTCATTCGGATTATTCCCCTCTATCCTCTCTTCATCTGCTCGCAGCGTTGTCACTGTACGCTCATACGAACCGGCTCGACGTGCTCTTTCTAACACACAGCTTATTTCGAATCCACGCATTACAGACGACTATCTCCCGTCGATTTTTAATTTTCTCTGGGGAGGTTTACACGAGGAATTTCTTTCGGTTTACATCGTACACCAAAAATTGTTCCATTTTTTTGGAAGCCCAACATAAGGGCTCTTTAACAACTACACGACTGCTTTTATCGATAGCTGCGTAAGGCAGATACAGGCAGCAATATAAGGGATCTACCGCTAATCTTTCGATTGTGTCGCAGTCACTGAGGCTGCCACTTCAAATCAACCCACCGGCCACACACCACTAGTGCCACACAAAGAAGCGCTCTGACCAGATCGATAGCCTGTGCTTCGTTCCGATACCTGTCTGGATTCACCTGCAACCGCTTGTGACCTTTCAGGAGGAACGCCTTTGCTGACCAAACTGCTACCCTGCGTGTCATTGGAAAAGTGAGACAACAACAACACGTTCGGAATGGGTGGAAAGATCGCGTTTCCAAAGTAACAGCGTGTGTAACTCGAAGGCGGAGATTCAAATAGTTCATTGCAGTGCGTTCTTTTTGTTCTTAATTAAATCGCACAGTTTCCGGGAGTTGCCAGCATTATATTAGACGTGGATTTTCAGTTAAGGATCAGAAGTTAGCACCCATTGTTTTAGCTCCTCTGATTTTGCTTCAGTATATCTTACTTCGGTTTCATTATCATGTCTACAGTAAGGACACGCTCGATGAGGAAGAAATGTATTATGGGCCAGGATTCTTCCATTTTAGTTCAAAATATGAGACAACGAACTAAGGTACTTTGCACAAAGATTGGAAGCAGTAGTAAAGAAAATACCCGAAGCAGTGTAGGCACTGTAGGAAATTCCCTTGGACTACATGCTGACCTGCGAAAGACACCTGAAAAATGTCCATCTGTAGCTGAAACTACATACGCTGAACTTGCATCAAAAGTCGACATGCTCACATCGATATTGCTGTCTTATTTGAATCGCCCCCAAATATTGATAGAATGAACCTCATGAAGTGCAATGTACTGATAGACTCTATTTCGACAGAATTACACAATCGAGTACGCTGTTCACGCAATGCTGTGATATTTAATGTGCCAGACAATTTACCACTAAAAACTGTTCAGAGATTGCTTCTTACTGCATGCGGTATGCAATCTTGTTGGTCCAGCTGCATCAGACTACGAAAACGTGTAATGCGTTGCGCGCGTCCCATACTTTTCCAGTTTCAAAATGAACTTATTGCTAAACAACTTATTCAAAAGCGCAATCTCATTGTGCTTAATGCGACTTTCAAAAGTCTGAACATTATGGAGGACAAAACCCCGCTACACCGAGAGATAAGGAGGACGTCTGAGGTAAAACAGCATACCCAACAGCCATATGGCGCCCCTCACCCAGTTGATATTGGTCCACTTAGTGGCCAACACCAATGTGAAGCTAATACTCCGCTTGCTGCAAATAAGGCCGAAGCAGTGAATGATCAAGTGATTTCTGAAGTTAACAAGGAATCACATAAATATGCGGGCCACTCTGTTGCATTAGATGCTGTGTCCGGTAGAACACCTAATTCTCGCACTTCGGAGCTAAGATCAACGTCAGATGCAAAATTGGTTACTGGAGGATCTCTACTAGGCCACAGTTTCACGGCTAAGCATGATAAGCCGACCAAGCCCAAAACGACTACAATCTACAAAACTAGTGATGTA